GGCCGACGCGCGCTATTTTCTGCCCTCTAGACCTTTTTGTTTTTTGGAGAAACACATAGAAATCTAAAAATAAGGAAAAAAACATAGAAAAATATATAAAATGTCACACAGAATCGTTTCAATGAATAAGTAAAATATAGAATGTTCATGGATTTTTTTCAATAAATAAGTAAGAAAAAAAATAGAATGTTCACATATTCTACAATTTGTAGTATATGTCCATGTCGACGAAAATAATCTTTCGTCTACTTATTAATATGTATAGAATTGTTTTTTAAATGTTATTGTATGCGAAAAGTAATGTTCATCTGTGACAAAAAATGTTCACATGTATCAAAATAAAATAAATGTTTACGTTCACGAAAAAGTGGACATGTATATTTTGATAAATGCCTCGTATGTAAGAATAGATATTCATGTACATCAATAAGAATTACCTCATATTTCCGATGGATTCTTACATGTGAAGGAAATGTTCACATATCTTGAAGAGATGTTCATGTTTTCGAAAGGTGTTTAAAAAGAAGTGCTCATGTATCCCATACAAATAGTCATTATTTTCTCTGTTATAAAGGCAGAAAAAAAGTTAAGATGAGTAAAACAGAATTGGAATATATAAATAATAATAATGAGATTAAGAAGAAATAAATAAGATGGTCAGCGTTATTGCGCCACGACCCATGTGCGAAATGACCCAGATGTCGCATGGAGAAGGAAAATAGGGTGTTATAAAACAACTAAGGATTTAGTTTGAAGAAATCTATAAATGAACTACTCGTTTATTTTTCAAACACAAATACTAGATATGTTGAGGCTCAACCAAGTGTACCAACAACTTACGCTAAATAAGATGAGCACAAGATATACAATTACACAAGTGATAAACAACCTATAAGAAGATAAATAACTTGAAGCATGAAGACTATCAACTATAACACAAAAGTAAATAAACAGGGGTACAAGTATAATCGAGACATGAGGGGATGAAAGTTTATCTCGGTGTGTCACTTCATGATAAGGAACCTAATCACCATCGGAGAGGTGCAGGTAACCATGAAGTTCCTTCGGACGCCACTGAAGGCTCGCATTCTTCTCATTGAGCCTCCACCATAAAGTTGGTTCTCAATTGTTGTGGTTAGCTTCTTCCTCCAGTCCGAAGATGGCAAGTTTCACAATGAAACTACATGGTTCCCCCACCTGTGTTTTTTTGTAATTAAGGACAATCCATATGGACTAGTTATTCTTTTATTTTTTATTTTTTTATATTTTAAATTTATATTTCTTTTTTAATACATGAACATTTCTAAATAATAAGCAAACATTTTTAATGCAACGAATATAATTTTTGGTATACATGGAATTTTAAAAAATATGAAATAATGTTATATATTCATTTTTAAATCCGTTAACTCTTTCAAAAATGCGTAATTTTTTAATACATGAATGTAGTTTATGTATACATGAACATTTTTTAAATACATGGTGTAATTTTATTTCCTCTCAGAAGTATGTATGAACATTTAGATGTGCGCACGTGATTTTTTTTAAATTTTCCGCAGACATAATTCTTTCCATTTTTGAAAACTGGTTAACAATTATTTTTTAAAGCGGTGAAATAAAATTAATTTTCCAATAAAAACCACGGTGCAAGACCGGTAATGGGCCGGCCCAAGGAACGCTCGCGTGTTGCGCTCCCTACCGGAGTCCTCGTCCCCGCCTCACAGCCGCGGCGCCGTCCCCGCCGGCGTCCTCCTCCCTGTGGCGGGGAAACCCCACCACCGAACTTTGGGCCGCCTGGAAGCCACGCAGCATGACCCCGTCGGCGTCGTCCTCCCCTACGTCAAGTGCAGCTACTGCGGCGTCCGCTCGTGGGCAACGCGACCACGTCCGCGAGCTCTGTTATGGCAAGGTGCTCTCGAGTAAAAAATTGGAACCTCTTCCGAATAGTGGATTCATCACTAAATAAAGTCATGACCTCTCCAAATCCACTTTCATCATTATAATCATCATAAATAGAAGGCATGCTTTCATCATAATAAATATTCTCATCAAAACTTGGGGGAATAAACATATCATCTTCATCAAACATAGCTTCCCCAAGCTTGTGGCTTTGCATATCATTAGCATCATGGATATTCAAGGAATTCATACTAACAACATTGCAATCATGCTCCTCATTCAAAGATTTAGTGCCAAACATTTTATAGACTTCTTCTTCTAGCACTTGAGCACAATTTTCCTTACCGTCATTCTCACGAAAGATATTAAAAATATTAAGCGTATGAGGCAAACTCAATTCCATTTTTTTGTAGTTTTCTTTTATAGGATAAACTAGTGATAAAACAAGAAAAAAAAAGATTCGATTGCAAGATCTAAAGATATACCTTCAAGCACTCACCTCCCCGACAACGGCGCCAAAAAAGATCTTGATGTCTCTACATAACCTTCTTCTTGTAGACATTGTTGGGCCTCCAAGTGCAGAGGTTTGTAGGACAGTAGCAAATTTCCCTCAAGTGAATGATCTAAGGTTTATCAATCCGTGGGAGGAGCAGGATGAAGATGGTCTCTCTCAAACAACCCTGCAACCAAATAACAAAGAGTCTCTTCTGTCCCCAACACACCCAATACAATGGTAAATTATATAGGTGCACTAGTTCGGCGAAGAGATGGTGATACAAGTGCAATATGGATGATAGATATGGGTATTTGTAATCTGAAATTATAAAAACAGCAAGGTAACTAATGATAAAAGTGAGTGTAAACGGTATTGCAATGTTAGGAAACAAGGCCTAAGGTTCATACTTACACTAGTGCAAGTTCTCTCAACAATAATAGCATAATTGGATCATATAACTATCCGTCAACAAGCAACAAAGAGTCACTCCAAAAACACTAATAGCGGAAAACAAACTAAGAGATTATGGTAGGGTACGAAACCACCTCAAAGTTATCCTTTCTGTTCTATCTATTCAAGAGTCTGTAGTAAAATAACACAAAGCTATTCTTTCTGTTCAATCTATCATAGAGTTCGTACTAGAATAACACCTTAAGACACAAATCAACCAAAATTCTAATGTCACCTTGATACTCCATTGTCACCTCAAGAATCCGTGGGCATGATTATACGATATGCATCACACAATCTTAGACTCATCTATTCAACCAACACAAAGTACTTCAAAGAGTGCCCCAAAGTTTCTACCAGTGAGTCAAGACGAAAACGTGTGCCAACCCCTATGCATAGATTCCCAAGGTCACGGAACCCGCAAGTTGATCACCAAAACATGCATCAAGTAGATCGCGTGAATATCCCATTGTCACCACAGATAAGCATGGCAAGACATACATCAAGTGTTCTCAAATCCTTAAAGACTCAATCCGATAAGATAACTTCAAAGGGAAAACTCAATCCATTACAAGAGAGTAGAGGGGGAGAAACATCATAAGATCCAACTATAATAGCAAAGCTCGCGATACATCAAGATCGTATCACCTCAAGAACATGAGAGGGAGAGATCAAACACATAGCTATTGGTACATACCCTCAGCCCCGAGGGTGAACTACTCCCTCCTCGTAAGGGAGACCGCCGGGATGATGAAGATGGCCACCGGTGATGGGTTCCCCCTCCGGCAGGGTGCCGGAAAGGGCCCCCGAGAGGTTTTTGGTGGCTACAGAGGCTTGTGGCGGCGGAACTCCCGATCCATTGTGCTCTTCAAAGGTTTTAGGGTATATGGACTTATATAGGCGAAAGAAGTCGGTCAGGGGAGCCACGAG